CAACTTATATCCAAGTGGCTTGACAAAGATTGCAAAATAAGAACTTTTCTGTATTTGAATAATAATGAGAAAAAGCATATATAAGTAACTTATGATGAATTAATCTTTCATACTTATAATAGATCACATACTATATAAGGTCTTGAAAAAAAATAGTCATTGTGAAAAAAAGTATTAGGTCTTGATATGCACATGAGTGATTTTTTAATAGAGATAATAGGACTATTTAAAAATAAACAGAAAGAGATACATATAACAATGATACTTGATATCAACTGGAATAGATTTTGAGACTCCAGAAAACTTCTTGAACAAGTCATACAGGTGATAAATATCTTTGAATAGACACATCTAGAGAATGTAGATATATTTGCCTTTGATAATATTACTTCTCATATGACTTTCGCTAAAGATACTCTTGTAGCTTCAAAAATAAATCTTAGTCCAGAAGAATCAGTTCCAAAAATGTGAGATATGACATGGAATGGCAGTCATCAATCAATAGTTATTAAAGAAGATTATTTTGTTTATAACAAGAAGACAAAATCTAATATTAACTTACATGATTAGCCTAAAGGAATCCAGTAGATTCTCTGTAAAAGAGAATTATGACAAGAGAGAATGATGCTAGAGTACACTTTATACAAGAGAAAAAAGACAGATCCTAATATTATTGATTGTTATGTATATCATTTAATAGTCAATCAGCCAGATTTTCTTGTGCAATATAATCAAATTCAACAAGAAATTAAATCTTGTAAACATAAGGTAATTTTGTTATCTTTAGTTATTCTTTTCTGACTAGTCTGATCTTGATAACATTATTTATTCTTAGGTTATATTCTACCCCAAGTTTTACCTTGAATTTAATTATATTGAGATGTACTGGGGGTGATCAAGAAGTATACTCAATCTTATTACAAGTACTCATTATCAAAAATCAGAGAAATGGTCTCTCAAGCATTTGATTCCATTCCTGTGAAGAGAATTCATTCTTTTGCTAGGCTGTTATTTAGGTGAATGGATATTTATCATCATGGTTTGACTGGAAAAGCAGCAGAATATGTGGTTAGGAAGTATAAGAGACATAGATTAATCAACAAAAAGATTATAAATCAGGTTAATAAGTTATTAAATTGATAAAGAGAAATGGGTATAATAAAAAGTGAAGAGTATATTTTGCTATATCTGATCAATAAAATGCATTATGATGACAGATATTTTTATTTTTTGATGTGATTATTCTTATTTTGTTATGAGGGATATTTTTTACTTACTTTATCTATATATAGACTAGCAGGTATTAATTAAATAGTGTGATAATTTAACTTCTGCTAGTCTTATTATAAAGATTAGCATTAATTTATCATTGGTTATATGATTGATTACATCATTATATAATGCTAGAGTTAGGATTAAAATTTGGCATTTCATATAATAAATTGAATATTTTATGCTATTCTATACTATATAATATCAATTTATTATTTAAAGATGCTGTATCTGTTCTATAATTTTAAGTAATGAAATATCAAATAAAGAATAAGTTTTAAATATAATTTCTTGTTTGCTTTTGATTTAGTTTTTTGTATGAATTCTATTTTAATTAACATCGCTTATATCTTGAATCTTCTGTATAAATTTTTCTGATATAATACTATATCCTGACTTTCTGTGTGAATTATTTGGATATATTATACTACGTAACTAGAAGATTATATAGTAGTTGATGAAGATGATATTTTATTTTTCTTGTTTCTACTTATTTCTTCTTCAAGTGATATTAGAGAAATAAAAATTAAAGTAATAAGTATGTCTTGAGTGATTGGTTGTGTTTCTAAATATTTATTAAGTGATGATTGTACTAATATTTATTCAAGAGTATCTGGATTATATTTCTCAAATTGTTGTAAAGTATCTAATAGTTCTTTATTTGACTTTGACTAACTTGGATTAGGTACTTCTATAGATATGTCTTGCTACTTTCTTTGCCTATGTTCTGTTAGATATTTAGTTTTCTTGTTATAATTTATAGAGATATATCTGTATTTGTTTTGTTATTAGATCAATTTTTTCTTTAATTAAAATTGCAAAATCTTTTCTTGCCTTGGTTTAAATTTTATCATGTATTATTTCTTGATAAAAATGATAAAATTTATTTCAAATAATCTATTGATTAGATTTAGTATAGTCTTCAAAATGTAACTCAGTAAATAATTGAGTGACAAATCTTTCTCTTTCTACTTTGATCTCTTTAGTTAGATCCACTTTGGATATGTTGTAAAATTATTTCTTCAATTATCTTTGATTCTCTACTAATTTTAATTTAATTCACAGAGGATTTTTTCTCTAAATCTGACTTGAATTTGGTAATCCTATGAAATTATTTTTTCACAGAGGGGACATCAAAAAATTATTATCTTTTGATGTGAATTCTAAGATAAGGATGAGTATTTAATTTAATATTATAAAAGTACGTGACAAAAATAATCACATACTTATAATAATATCTTAAGATAGTTTTTAAAAGATTTATTTGACAAGAATATATTTATTGTTATTTTAAAGTTAATCTAAAGGTAGATAATAATAGTATTCTTGTTATGACTAGCTAAAATATAATCCAATTTCAAAATATAGTTTCAAGATAAATATAATATTCAGTTTATTAATAAGATGAAATAATAAATCTTAATTAAGATCTATTTTACAAGAAAGATTTCTTAAAACTAAAATCTACTAAAATGTGAATTGAAAACTAAACTTATAGAACTCAAACTAAACTAAATAACTAATTAATTAACTAATAACTGTCTTCTTAATTATCTCTATTCATTAGTTAAGATACATTACTTTTATATATTTTAGAGATTATACAAATGATATTTTTATTATGATACTTATATTAGTTTTGCTATAATCTAAATATTATTTTAGCTAGTATCATAATGTTGATTTTATTATGATAGTATTGTTAGTTTTGCTATAATAGTTTTGCTAACTTTACTATGATAATTTTGCCATAATCATCATGTTTGTGAAATCTTTTAAAAATATCTACAAATAATATTCTCTAAAATTAATATCTAATAAGTTATAAAGAATTATTCATTCAATCATATTGTGATATGAAGTGACCAATAATAAAATTAATTAATATTTTACTAAAAGTTCATATTACAATAATATTAATATGAAAGAGAGACAAAAATGTAAATACTAAAGGCTTGAAAAGGAAAAAAAAGTTTGAATATAATAGTATAGTCATATATAAATTCTATTTAATAGAATAAATGTGAAGGATCTATTAAGTAATCTATAAGATTATATAATTATAAGTTATTTTTTAATTAGTTTTTTATTAATGTTAATTAATTTATGATTTTATCAATTAATATTCTGATTTCTTATTAAGTTGATCAGATTTTTTAAGTTATAATACTAGTTTCTGTCTAAGAAGATAATTTATTAATTATAATATTATAGTTTTATTATTTAGTATTTGTAATCTTAGAATATTAATAAAGAGTGTAAGAACAGATCAATAATAATTCAAAGAAATATATGTATTTATTTAAAAATAATAATAATTTTTATTTTATTTAATAAGAATTTTTATTATAATAATGAATTATTTAATAGTTAATTCTTAATTATAATTCTATTTCACTTCTATTCTAAAATTCTTTTTATTTATAATCAAATTTTCTCCTACTATTCTCATCATGATCCTGTATCATCAAGATTAATGAATTATTTTTATTTTGATTCATTAGTTGATACCTTATTGATACATCTTTATATATTCAGAATCCTATTAATGAAAAATTTCAGATCAATTTTTTATATCAAGAATTAATCATATCAATTACATAAATTATATATAATAATAACAAGGTTAAGAATTTTTAACTGGTTAGGATCACTAAAATCAAGCTCTAAATAAATCAAACTCTAAGCTAATCACGTGTATATTATTATTATCACATAATTATATAATACATGAAATATTATTTGTAACATTACATTATATGCTATATTACATTACATATGAAAAATTCAATATGTGATGCAGCATTTAATATGACTAAGATTGATGCATCATATTAATAAAAAATAATTTAATAATAAAAATTAAATATAAAAATATATAAATAATGCAATAAAAATATTAAAACAATATATATAAATTATAATACAAATAATAATATTTCAACTTTAATTCATATCTCTAAGATACTTTCTAATTCAATATATCTGATTTTTTAATGAAAATAATGAAAATAATTTTATTTCATCTTTTAAAAATGAAATCAAATTATATATCTCAATTTTATCAATGAATACAATCATTTTTTATATGAATATAATCCATTTACTTGATAAAAAGAATATAAACATATACTTCTCTTGCTTGCTTAACAAGCTCATATTTTATTAGCTATTCCTGCTACACCAATACCTGCGGAATGGTTATTTTCTAATGTTGAAAATGCATTAATAAACAAATGAAATCAACTTGATAACGGGAACAGAAATATAAAGCCAGCTTGACGGGCTAAGCCATCTTTTAAAAAATCAGCTAAGTTTTTGTATCAGGTGATATTTATCTATCCTACCCACCCAAATAGACTTATAATTATACCTGATGATCGACAGACCCTTCAAAATCACCTGATTAATGGCGCTTCCCTTTACTTCCGTTAACTATTAAGCAAGACGTAAAATGGATCTTTTCGAGTGCCGTCAAGATTTAAATTATCCTGGCATCATAAAATGTGCATTGTTTTCTTGTAAACACGCCTCATATTAACTTGCCATTTTTAATGTAACCTTTTGGAAGAATAATATCGATCCCTTAATATTTTTTTTTGTTTTCCAAAATTTGATAATACTTCAATAACGATATTAATTGTCAATTTAGCCAATGAAAATTAGTTATCTCTGATGTTATTTGGATTAAATGAAATATTGTTATTATGAACAGATGAACAAATCGATTAATGGAGATTAGATTCTCCTTTTTTTACTAATTTTTTATAATGTCCATTCGAATCCAAGCGCACTAACAATTCTTGCATGAATCCTTTGACACCAGATTGGCTATCAGCTTTATCATGATACCATCTACCAGCATTATGTAAATCTACATCATTACTAGTGTGACTAACTGCTGCATCATTTTTTCCCCCGCCTTGATAATACTGCCTTTTCACACCAATCCCCATTCGTCCGCCACCTTTCTCTTCAAACGCTAACAAAAGCTTCATCAACGACGTTGTATACAACCGGAACCGATCATAAAGCGTCTGAATAGTGTTCCAATGTTCTTGTCGTTGAGACGCGTCATAAAACACGGTAGTACGTCGTTGTTGTAGTTTTTGCGCGAATGATAGGATCACGGAGAGGATCGCGTTTAGGATTTTCATTAATGGCGCGTGTTTCTTTTTTAGCATGCATTGGTATAACATGCGGTCGAGTACGTGTTCGTGATAGGCTCTTAGAGATTCGAGATCTTTGACGTCTTTTTGGTGGTTGTCCTCGTCGTCATTATTTTCTTCTTCGTCTTCCATAAAAGAGGAATCCTCGTCGTCATCCTCGTCATCATCATCATCATCATCTCCAGAACTAATTGATTGTGCTTCCGAAGACGCAGTTGTCGTCGCTCTATTGCCATGTTGCTGCTGTTGTTGACGCGGTATCTCAAACTCGGCATTTTTTGAGATTTTGGAAAGTCTCTTCAAAAACAAAGTCCAAGTCGAAGCAATCGCATTATCAAACACATAGCCATGCAAAGCAATCATGAATTGTTGCGCTTCGAATCGAAATATATGTAAAAGTTTCTTTTGAGCCAATGTGTCACCTTTGTCATTCTTTTCGTCCATTAATGAATATCGAGAATGCGAAAGACGATAAATATGGTGCACTACCGTGTCGAGTCTTAGCACGCGTAATAGGAATGTGAAGAGGTTTTTGTATTTGGTTAGAGAGTTTGGGGTGATTACTACGTTTATTGGGTATGGTGGCTTATAGTCAAGATAGAGAAAATCTAGAGCTTCCAATGCTATTTATTTCGTTAAGATGAATTTATTCAGTGTTTTAATAATATTAATAAGATAAATAAAAAAATAAATAATACCCTGTGGATCTTGACAATATTCCTCGTCCGATTGGATTCCAAACATCAAAATATCGTCAAGATTATTAATGGAACTCCAGGCATCTACTATTGATGGTTCTCTGGTGGAATTATCACCATCCTGATCTTCATCTACCTCGGAATTTTCTTTCTCTAATAGAATAGTTTCAACAATCACTGATTTCAAAGCCATTCTCCATTCTACACTATCAGGCGGCCAAGTTCGTCGACTATTCAATCGAATACCATTACCATTGCCACTACTTCCTGAGGTTGCTTTATTACTGGAGAAATCTTCTCCATAATCAACATTATCACTAAACAATGCGTCAGTCAATCCAGACACGAAATTTCCGTTACCCAACAGCAAGAAGTTACGTAACACGTTTAAATGCGCAACAAGGTCAAGTTCATGAAAGAAAATTGACAAGATTGAAGCGTTGATGAGACGGCATTGGCTACTGATTGGATAGTTTATTACGAGATCGGTAATTGCGCGTAGTGGTGGAATGTAGTCTTTCTCTTTGTATACAGAGCTTGAGGTTTGTGCTTTGTGCAGTAATTCAATTAGCTCTATTGTTTGGTTATTCGAAGTTATCGTGGATGGATCGCCGGGTGATTCGTCAAAATTGAAGTGATCTGACTTTTCTAATGATTCTGTGATGTTGTGTTCTTCCTTGCGTTTACTCATGACTCTTTCATAATTGGCTTTGATCCGTGCAGTAGATGCTTTTCGTTTATTGTCCTGTGCAATTATTGCAACCATCATATCACGCATGTATACTTGCAATCGCTCGTGCATACTATAAAAATTTTTACGTGTAGATAATTCTAAATAAAAAAAAAGGTAAAAAAAATTATCAAAAAAAGGGGGGTAGAAAATCATTACTCGTATATCTCTCCTTGCGTGAAAATCCACTTCACATTCTTATCCCATTGAAACAACAGTCCTTTTTGTTGTCCGCCAGAATTATTGTCATTGTTATTACACAACGGGTGATTCGGCCGACAATCTCTCAACAATCTTAACGATATACCAGCAGCCAACATATTTCTAGCAAGTTCGACCGAAATAAAAGCTGGCAATGGATTTGATTTGCTAACCTTTATTTTTTGTTGTTGCCCGTAACCGTCGTCACTATTCTGTATAAAAAATTCTTGATATGGATCACTGAATTTGCCTTTTGTAGTCTGGTAAAAAAGTGAACTCTTTTCGAATAGCGACAATACCGAAGAAGAAGAAGATGTTGGCGATGATAAATGCGGTGAGGGAAGAGCGTTTAATCCAATCCATGAGTTCATCATTTGGAAATATGTGTAACTTGATTCAGCCAGCAATGCCAAAAATACAGACTTCAATAGATATGATTGTGACGCGTCAATTCGTTGCGAGAATACATATAATTTGGAAATAATTGCGGCACCAAAAGGAATATAGAATCCATTTTGTTTTTGTTCAGAAGTTAAATTCAAACGACTTGTATTTGAACGATCCTAAAAGAAATAATATTTTCCTTTTTAGTATTTTAAAATAAAAACGATAGTAACATTATTAATTGTTTGATAGGTACACAACAGCAGAATGAAGCCAGATATTCTAATAAACGAAAAGATTCGTCAATCGTGAAATAAAACCGGATTAGATTCATCTTTTTTAGTCCTTCATATTTTTCTGCCAATGAAGTGATTGATAACCGAATAAAAGTTACGACGTTTAACAGCGAATGACCAAATGCGATTCCTGTAAGACCGTATGCGCTATATCAAAATCAATACAATAATTTATGTTTAAACCATTTTTTGACTTAAAAAATATGAATCAAATACTATTTTACCTTCGATCCTGAATGCATCGCTTCGCCACATTTTCCAAACGTTTGATATATGTTCCAAAATCCAAGAATTTAATCAGAATTCTTTTGAATACAAATATTATCTTAATATGACTATGTTTATTTTGAGATATTAAGGTTTGACATAATCCACATTACCTATTCATAGCCTTTTCACTGCATCCGCTTATTCGAAAGTTTGTAATTATCTGAAACATCCTGAGTTCCGGATTATATGAAAACAATTTAGATGAAAAACCGATCACTAAGTAATAAATATCCTAATGAAAAAATAATTAGAGATGTCAGTTAAATCAGCATAAATAAATTAAGATAAATTCACAATAAAATAACGGTCACGTACTCTCATCAAATCGCTTTTTGATAAAAGAGGACACGCTGGAACCAACTCATTCTGAAGATAAATCTGAAAAACAGCTTCTTGCGTTTCTGTATTGGTCTCAGTAAGATATGGCGTCTTCTGTAATGATGGTGATAACGAATTATGTCCAATTGTATCCCACGATAATATCTTAAACTAAATATAATGAATTTCAGTGGAATCTATAAAACGATATCACAATCAAAAATAATCTTTGGATAACCATGAAGATCGATTAATCGGCATAAAATTACTTTGTCATCTTTTGATTGTTGAATTGCATCTTGCCAAATTGATAACAATGACGACAATGACGATAATGAGCTATCTGTGGTGTCATTTTCATCATCGTTATCAATTTCATCCTGTCTGACAATCGATTTTTTTCCTATTTCCAAGGAGAATCGATTTCATTAGAAAATTCACCTTAAATTCTTAAAATTCACCAACATTAGGATTATAGTAATCACCAGAATTCTTTGGAATACAATAATTATTAGTATATGGCAAAGACTCAAGAATCACATCAAATGGACGCGTCGGAAGATCAGGTAACATGAATGGAAAAAATTCTTTTGTTTGTTGTTTATCTAAAAGAGATCGGGAACACATTAAATGTATGATAACTTAGAATACATAAAAGCAAGGAACCAAATTATATATACTTTTATCATCAAGAAATGTTGATGTTGTTGATGATGTGCCATAGAGGAGAGAACGTAAGTCAACTTGATCATCAGCCTTATCATCATCATTATTGTTATTATTATTAACATTATATTCATTAAATACAATATCATTATTAAAAGTTTCCTGCTTTACAAATATTTTGGTACCCTAATCAACACAAATTCAAAAAACCTTAATTAGTAAAGATATTAAATTAAGGACTATGGTTTTTAGCTCTTACTGACAGTAGCAAATTTAAAAAGAATTTATATACTTGCTACGTTTAATGTACCATTTGCCACTGCCAAATTTCATGGACTGGAAGAGCAATAATAAATATTTCAAGGTTTTGCACACGAAAAAAATCTCGATAATTTTGGCGTTGAATGTCACAGAAATCATGTGATATGGATGTGAAATTAATTTTTTCGTGCGAAAACTCGCCATTTGGTTAAACTTTACAGGTTATGAATTCTGACAGTGGTCAGTTGCTCCATTTCACAAATTTACTCGTTATTAAGATCTTTCTTGCAGTTTTTCTAATTTCGTTCTACTCGATCTTTAGAATTCTCAAGAGCTCAACGCTTATCCAGTGTTTTACGGCTGCTAAATTCTAAACGAAAAACTTCTATTTCACATGACTCAGAAGACACATTGGACGAACTACTCGAGGTTTGCTTGTTACTTTTCTCGTCCTACTTTTACTTGCTTGATTTAAATTAATGCCCATTTAAAATCTTTCTCTGAATGTTGTTGATCGTTAAAGTTACCCTTTGGCCTATCAAGGCCTTTGACATACGAAGACGTGAAGCTTGAGTTAGAAGAACGTTATTTAAAACCGCTTACAACCTTTCCTACCTCTTGGCTTTCAAGCTGTCAACAGTAAGTCTAGGGCTAGATCTCTTGATAGTGTCTTTGCCCCTGTTGTGTACTTTCACTAGAACGTTGTAGATATTGGGAACGCGAACCCAATTATATGACTTTAGTGACCTTGGGTCCATCAAAGCCACGAGCTACAATAGAAGTAAGACGAGATGGTATAGACGGGGAAATTATATCATATAAGGAGGTACTGTTTAATTCTATTATCTTTCTTTGTGCAAAATTAATAGAATAATGGCTGATGTGCGTATATGATAGGTTGCGGTACCGGATGAAACATTAACAGCAAAGAATTCTACTTCGTTATTACGTGAGCCTGGTGCGCCTAAAGATTTTGTTAAAGGAGGATCTAATTATATTCCTTTTGCACCTGGTAATTATTACGTATTTCTCTAAAATGAGAGTTTTTATTATTTACTTCTTGAGATACTTGTACATTATTCACAGTTTATATTTATTTAAGGGGGACTGGAATCTGAAGTGTTAAAAAATGAAGTTGAAGAAGTTACAGAAGATTTAGAGGAAATGTTAAGATTTGAGGAAGGTGCGTCAGTCAAATTATCTACTTTTATAAAAATTATATTTAAACCAGACTCAAAATTCTTAATTATTACAAAAAAGATGGAATATTGACAATACCTCCAGGCTTTGAACATGGACTTATTTTTGAAGGTAATAAAGCAAATTGATTGCATTTGAAACCTTGAATCTGTTAGTCTTTTGTGAATTTACAGATATTTTCTATTTCTAAAATTACTATATCTTTAGACGAAGAAACACCGAATAACAATGCGGCTGTAAGAAATGCTGTAACTGGATTAAATATTATAGATATGCTTACACACGACGAAGATGATTTTAAGTTCTTAGAAACACTCAAAAAAGAGAAGATAACACGACCAAAAATAATAAAAGGACAGGTATTTACGTTCTTTATTTGACTCTTTTAATATGATTTTTCTGTTTCTGCATGAATTCGTATATTAAATATAAAGCTGATTAATTTCGTCATGTATTTAATAATAGGAAGAAGATAAAGAAGAAAATGTCATATCAAAACCTCCGACTACGACGGAAGAACCGATGGACCTTTTACTTCCCGCACAGGTTTTAATTTTTCTGTTTATCTTTTATATTTATCTTTTACTCCTATTAATTTAGTAATTATAGTGATTACTATTGCGATTTTATTATAATTATACATTCAATAGCCGCCCTCAATTCAAAACCTCCACCTGCTTAAAAAATCTGATAAAAACATTGCAGCTAAAAAAAGAGATTGGGCTCATGTCGTTGATGTCAACATTGAACTGTCTAATTTCAAAGAACTGGTTCCGGAAATGGCAATTGAGGTAACTTTTTCATTTTGTTAAGAATTTAAACTAATGTCTTGTTTGGATTAATAATAAATTTCCTATATATTACAGTATCCCTTTGAACTAGACACTTTTCAAAAACAAGCTGTATATCATTTGGAATACGGGGATTCGGTATTTGTAGCTGCTCACACATCCGCAGGCAAAACTGTCGTTGCCGAATATGCTATTGCATTAGCCATTAAACATATGACAAAGTTTGTATTGTGTTTATCCATTTATCATAATGTTTCTTACTTATCGTCATTTCCTTTTAATTATTCCTCTTTTGATAAAAAGGGCGATCTACACTTCTCCAATTAAAGCTCTCTCAAATCAAAAATACCGTGACTTTAAAGACAGGTTTGATAGCAATGTCGGAATTTTGACGGGAGATGTCCAGATTCAACCCGAAGCCTCTTGTCTTATAATGACCACTGAAATTTTGCGGTCGATGCTGTACAAAGGTGCTGATTTGATTCGGGATGTGGAATTTGTGATATTTGACGAAGTCCACTATGTTAATGATTCTGAGGTAAGAACGTTCGAGTAAAAAATAATTCGACAATATTTCGATTTTGTTACGAGTATTTAACTTGAGCATGAATAGCGAGGAGTCGTATGGGAAGAGGTGATAATTTTGCTTCCCGCTCATGTAAGTATTATACTTTTGTCGGCAACGGTCCATAATACTAAAGAATTTGCCGATTGGGTCGGGTACGTGATTAAAAAAACATTCTCTATTCTTGTCAAAACTACTTCATTATATAAGATTTAAATATTATTTATTTTTTGTGTAGTCGAACGAAGAAGAAAGACATTTATGTAATATCCACGACAAAAAGACCTATTCCTCTCGAGCACTATCTATACGCAAATAAAGATATTCATAAAATTGTTGATGCTAAAAGACGATTTCTCACTGTAGGGTAATTTCAAAAAATCAAAATTATTCATGATGATATATCGCTTATATGATAATCGTTTATTATAAATAGATGGAGGCAAGCAAACGATGCATTGTCAAAAAAGGACAAAGATGTTAAACCAACTAATGCTCGTGGCGGGGGACGGGGACGTGGTGGAGGTCGTGGTACTTTTGCACATCGAGGGGGCGGAAGTTTTAGACCTATGGTGCAACAGGTATTTATATTAATTGAGTGTGATTTTTGAATATAATGTAACATGTAAACTTACAACACATATATAATAAAAATTAAATAGGATAAACATTTATGGAGCGGGCTTACCGGTTTCCTTAATAAGAAAAAGTTATTCCCTGTAATCATCTTTACATTCTCAAAGAAAAAATGCGATGAAAATGCGCAAGGACTGACAAATGTAGATCTGTGCAGTGCAATCGAAAAGAGTAAAATCCATGTATTTATCGAGAAAAGTTTAACTCGATTAAAAGGTTTCTTTTTTTAATGAAAAATTTTGTTTAAATGTTTGCTCCTGATTTTTTCGATTTAGCTTTGATTTAACTTTAATTTCATTATTCATTCTATTGATGTAGGCACGGATAAAAAATTACCTCAAGTGATTAAAATTCGTGAACTTCTAAGTAGAGGTATTGCGGTTCATCACGCAGGATTGCTTCCGATCATTAAAGAGGCAAGCATCAAAATAACACTATTTTTTATATATTTTGGCTCTATAATCATTAATTTACGTTTGTTGATTATTTATATGCTAGCAAGGCTAATAAAATAAAGAATTATACAAGAAAATAAAAATCTGCCAACACTAAAAAAAAATTTGAATATTTGATTTTTTTTGTTCAGATGGTGGAAATACTATTCGGTCAAGGACTAGTAAAAGTCTTATTTGCTACTGAAACTTTTGCAATGGTATTTACTATTTCTAATTAATATACAGTCAACGTGCTCTAACAAATTTGTATATAGTGAATATTTTGATATAGCGAAGAAATTCACAGTGCAATATATATTACACATAAAAATCATCCGTCTGATGTCTTATATACCGAAGGCATTCGGTCGGCCTATGAACTTCTTTATTTCTAAATTCTCTATCAATAGTTAACTTGATATGGTTATTTAAATAAAGGGCGTTAATATGCCAGCACGTACGGTGGTATTTTCAGATATTCAAAAATACGATGGAAAAGTTATTAGACTCTTATCACCTGGTGAATATACCCAGATGTCTGGTAGGGCCGGTCGTCGAGGAAAAGATCCTACTGGGATGGTGATAATTGCTTGTTCTGGCGATAAAGCACCAGATGTATGTATGCACTTGTGATTATATTATTACTTTAGAAATTCTGCGTCGTTAAATACTAAAATTGTCTTATTTTCTAAGTCTTCAACTTTAGAAAATATGATTCTTGGCAACCCAGCAAAATTGGAATCGCAATTTCGTCTGACCTACAACATGATACTGAATTTGTTACGTGTCGAGGAACTTAAAGTAGAGGAAATGATTAAACGAAGCTTCTCGGAGAATACTAGTCAGAAGATGCTTCCGGATCATCAAAAAATGTTTGATGAGGTAAAATTTACACTAGTAGTATAATCGGAATAAATTGTATAAATTTGAATTGAAACACCTTTATCTTCAATATTTTGATTCCTTAGCGAGAAAAATCACTGAATACATTTAAAAAATTGGATTGTACTATCTGCAATCGCGACATAAATCAATTTTATGACGAATCAACGCGAATTTACAATTTAAATCATGAATTGATACAGCAAATTGTTTCGAGGCCAATTGGAGTCAGGACATTAAGTCCGGGCAGAGTTGTTATTGTAAATAATAGTGTAAGTGCGTAAATCACCAAATCAAAATTTGTTTTTATATATAATATATATATGTATATATATATTAATAATAATTATTTTAAAATAGTTCTATCGAAATACAGCGGCTGTTGTTCTAACATCAATGGCGAAATCTTCGACGTTTGCTGCAACAAATTCTTTTATCAGCGATAAAAGATTTATGGTACTGATGCTACTGGATACTCGATCAAAATCTGCAATTGAGGGTTTGTAGTTTAGTTGCTAAATTTATATCTGCTCTTAGACTTCTTACTATATTTAACTATATCTAATTTTAGATATGAGGAATATAGGCGTTGCACCACCACCGCTTCCGGTAACACGTGTTGCGAATCTTGACCAAAATTCATTAATTTACGAAATAACCGATATCGCACCCAGTGATATTGCTGTGATCACCAGAACAACAATAAAGGTAGATTTTTTTCTTCATCTTGATTCAAAATTTTGTGAGTTTCTTATTATTTCGTCTCTTCATGCTTATTTTTCGTTCGCAGATTACATCGGAAAACATATTGATGCAAGATGAACTAGAAATTACCAAAGCTATCCAACAATTATCGAAATGTGCAATTGAGTTGCAAAATGGTAAATCAGCACAAATATTATTTCAAGATGTGATTAAACAACAAAATTAACTCTATTTTTTTTTGAAGCCGGAACCATAGAGAATGACTGGTTCAAGATAAAAGAATTGGGATTCCAAGAAAATTTAGCGGAAAAATCGAAACTCGTGAAGAGAATAAATAAATATCAGTGTACCAAATGTCCAGACCTGAGTGAACATGCAAGTATATCAATTTATCATTAATGATATTAATTTCTGGTTTTTTTACCCGTTCTTAATATACTGACATTTTTTAAAGTATGGCATAATTCATGGAGAGCGTCTTTTAAAGGCCAAAGTGGATGAATTACGTCACACAATTTCTGAACAGAATCTCGAGCTACTACCTGAGTGTGAGCAAAGAGTTGAGGTCTTGAAGAGGCTTAATTATATCGATCAAAATGGCACTGTACAATTGAAAGGACAGATTGCTTGTGAAGTATGGAACTCTGATTTTTATTTTTTTTCGAGTTCGTAGTATCAAAACCACTAAAGGAATTTGCTTATGACGATCATACGTCTTGTTTATAGATAAATTCAGCCGACCAGTTAGTATTGACAGAACTGATTTTGGATAATACATTTGGTGAATTTGAGCCAGAGGAGATTGTGGCATTGCTCTCGTGTTTTGTCTTTCAAGAAAAGCATGAAATTACAGAGAATCTGATTCCGCAGCTTGAAAAGGTAAGAACAAGTATTAATTTTATTGTAATTTTTACTCAAGATATTCATATAACTTTGATTTGCAAGGGCAAAACGATCATACTTGATATTGTAGAAAAAATAGGAGAAGTCCAGCGTGAATGTGGACTTCCCATCTCAGTTGATGAGTATTTAGGTTCATTCAAGTTTGGTCTTGTGGAAGTAGTATACGAGTGGGCGCGCGGAATGGTAAGTTTTCCATAGTAAAACCGTCTATTGTTTGTTTCTTACGAAAAATTAACCATTTATTTATTATTGTAGTCCTTTTTAGAAATCAAAGACCTAACAGACGTACTAGAAGGTTCCATCGTCCGCTGCATTACACGGCTCGACGAAACATGTCGCGAGATCAGAAATGCCGCAAGAATAATTGGCAATCTGTCTCTGTACAAGAAAATGGATGATGCTCAGATGAAGATTAAGCGCGATATTGTGTTTGCTGCTAGCTTGGTACATAGTAATCTTTTGTGGTTTTTCATTTATTACAGAAATTGACTAACTCGTTTTTACATCTCTTTTGGTAGTATTTTTAAAAAATTAAATCTAATAACGATTTACAATAAATTGATTCTTACACATTATTTGTAAATATCGGTTTGTATTGTGGTAAGCGTTACACGAATCTCTAAGGCTTGACTTAGAAGTTTTCTTATATGGAGCGTGCTGCAACAAAACCAGACAAAGTGAACATCTGACGTCAAGTGCAATTAGGATGACGTTTTAATTTCTCTCTCTTAGCGCTAGCATACAAACTATTAAGGTTATTCCAATGGTAAATAAAGTATTTGGAATTAATCAAAGAAGAGATATTTTGCTTTGCTTGATTTCTGCTAATTCTTAGCACGTGGTTTTCTATTTCATTTTCGATAGTATGCTTCCAGATCCCTTAAGTTTTCAGCAATTTTTTCATTATCCATAGTTTTCAGCATTTGACCGTTCCTTTTAATTATTCTTTCTGCTCGTGATCTTCATCCTTTTTTTATTTAGTAAATAAAATCATAGTCAATGTGTTTTCTTTGTTATCTTTTTCCAATTCATCATCAATATCTTTATCATTGTTTGCTCTTTTTTCTGCTTCGTTCATATATTTATTTTCTTTTCCTAATTGCATAGAGATAACAAAGTCATGATAATTTAATTCCATCAGGAAATTTTTTGGAGAGATATTTATCGAGAATTATCACCATATTTGTAAAAATTGATAAATATCTCTCTGAAATATTGATATTAATTGATGATTCCAATGATCTTTGATAAATATTCATATCGATCATTGTTAATATATTATTTATCAATATATAATAATATATCAATTATTATCACAATATATTATTTATTAATAATAAATAATATATGTTAATAGTTAACTCAAATACTTGTTTTAAAACCAGTTTATCACATTAATATCAGTTTAGCTTATATAATCTAAATGAACATGCATACATTCACACATTCAATTATTTTCAAGATTGAAACTTCTAAAATACTTTTTATTTAATATTAAAAAATATATTTATTTAATAAATATTCATTATTTTTTCCATAT